GAAAATGCATGGACAATGTAGGGATCAGAAGAAAACATTTTAAATAACTAAAATTAATTCCCTCAGTGAAATGAGAAAATATTATGCCAAAAATTTTGAAAATGTAAAGAAAATGGACACTTTCCTAGAAAAATTATAATTCATCAGAACTGACTCAAGACGAAATAAAAAGCTGGAACAATCTTATATAGTCATTAAAGAAAGGGAAATAATTGCTAAAGCAAACACACCAGGCCCAGATGGTTTTACAGGTAAGTTGTACGAAACTTCCCACAGACAGATCATTCCAATATTACTCAAACTTTTCCTAGACAATATAAAAGAGAGTGTTTCCCAACTCATTTTCTGAAGCCAGCTTAATCCTGATACTAAACCAGACAAAAATATTATAAAAAAGGAAAATAACAGATCACTTTCATTCATGAATATAGATGTAATAATCCTAAACAAAATATTATAAATCATACTCAATACTGTCTGGAAAAAGAGAATACCTCACAATCAATTTAGGCTTATACCAGGTATGCAAGGATGGTCCAAATTTTGAAAATCTATAAATGTATTTCACCACATTAATAGAAAAATAGGAAAAAATCACAATCATCTGAACAGATGTAGAAAAAGCATCTGATAAGGTTAAATATCCATTCATGACAGAAACTCTTAGTAAATTATAAACAAAAGGGAATATCCTTAACCTAATGAAGAGAATCATTAAAGGAAATATAAATTTAATATCATATAAATGGAAAACATCATAAGTATTCTATTCAACATCAGAAATGAGCTCAGGATTCCAACTATTACTATTTAAAACCACTGATGTATTAGGATACCTACCTTGTGCAGTAAGACAAAGAAAGATACCAGAGGCATGAGGATTGGAAAGGAATAAATAAAGCTGTTATTATGTGCGGATGACATCACTGTTTACTAAAAAACCCCTACAAGTCTACTTTATTAGAAATAATAGGACAAATGATAAAAAAGCAGCTGGATATAAGACTAGTATATAAAGTTAGTTACATTTCTGTACACCAGCAGCAAACAATGAGAAAAAATTACTAAAGAGAATTTAAGATAATATCAGAATATCTAGAAACAAATATAACAAAAGCTGTGCAATACATCTTAATGGAAAATTAGAAAGCCTTATTAAGACATATTTAATAAAATCTAAACAGAGAGACAGACCATGTTCTTCACGGATAGGAAGACTTACTGTTACAAAAATATAATTCTCCTTAAATTGATATATAGATTCAAATCAATTCCAGTAAAAATTCCAACACAGTATTCTACTGAACCTGATTAGATGATTGAAAAATTTATAGGGAAGAATAAATAACCAAGAATAAGCAGCATATTTCTGAAGAAAAAGAGTAAGAAGTAGTATTTGCCTGGCCAGATACAAGGTTTTATTTTGAAGCGATCATGTAGGATTGGTGGAAGGACAGAAACCCTAACCAATGGAATAGGATGCATTCCCACGAATGTGTAGGATATACAGAGGTGGTCTGTCAGATCACTAAAAGAGGGAATACTCAATAAATATGATGGAAAAAATGCTTATCAATATGGAAAAGATGAAATTAAGACTTTCACTCCATGCTATATCAAGAAATCAACTCCCAGTGAAGTACAGAATTTTAAAAAATCAGCACTTTCAACTCTTGGTCAGAAATCTAGGTGACTAGCTTTGGACGGTGGGGTAGAAGACGACTTGTTGTACAGTACACAGAAAGCGTTAACTACAAAAGGGAAGTTTGGTCAAATTGACTATATTAAAATTAAGAACTTCTGGGTATCAGACACCTTGAGGAAATGAAAAAACAAGGTACAATCCAGGAGAAGATATGAAATACATACAACTGATGAAGGATTAGTATGACTATTTAAAGAACGTCTATACATCAGTAAGAAACGAAAAAAAGAATCCAATAGAAATTTGGACATAAGACCCAAAGAGACATTTTACAGAAGAGGAAACAATAAACCTAATTAAATACTATTTTATGCTCATTCAATTTAAAAAAAAAAATTTTTTTTAAAAATCTGGCAATATCAAGTATTAGGAAGGGTATGGATCCACTGGATCTCTTACACACGGTTGGTGAGTGTCTAACTTGTTGCAACCATTTTGGAAAACAGTTTGGCATTCTCTTCTAAAAGTAAACATTCATGTATTTTCCTAGTAATTCCACTCCTGGGTATATACCAAAAGAAACTCCTGCATGTGCACAAGAATGTTTATGGCAGTGTTGTTTACAGAGCAAAACCTTGGCAATGACTCAGTGTCTACCATCTGAACAGTGGCTGAATAAATTGTGGTATACTCACACAGTGGAATATAGTATAGCACTCAAAACCATGGACTCACAAAAGGAAAAATGAGATAATTTCAGGACAAACAAGTAATCACAGTGTACTACACGGCTCAGCTGTGAATAATACGTGATTTTAATAACGTAAACAATGAATAGGTATTCGACCTGAAATAGTGAAATAACTGTGTAGGGAGACTGGGAGAGGGGATATGCGTGTGGAAGGGTTGTAAGAGAGCTAAATTCCAACTTTCTACAGTAGGTAGTCAATAGATGGTTATTTAAAAGGGAAAGCTATGAAAACAAGCATTTTAAAGCTATGTAGGTAAAAGGAGCCCTAGTGGCGCAGTGGCTAAGAGCTCGGCTGTTAACCCAAAGGCCGGCAGTTGGAATCCACCGGCAGCTCCTTGGAAACCCTATGCGGCCCTTCTACTCTGTCCTCTAGAGTCACTATGAGTGGAATTGACTCGACAGCAACAGGTTTGGTTGTTCGGTAGGTAAAAACCAGAAGAAAACAGCCAAGGAGTTGAAAGTTATTGCTTCTGGAGGGTGAAACAGGGACGCTGCTTCTCTTTTGTGTTGTTATTATTACAAGCCTGTAGTTATTATCAAGGAGCCCTGGTGGTGCAGTGGTTAAAGCGCTCGCCTGCTAACCAAAAGATCGGTTGTTTCAGCCCACCAGTCCCTCTTCGGGAGAAAGACGTGGCAGTCTGCTTCTGTAAAAATTTACAGCCTTGGAAACCCTATGGGGTAGTTCTACTCTGTCCTATAGGGTCACTATGAGTCAGAATCGACTAGATGGCAGTGGGTTTGGGTTTAGTAGCTATTATTAATTCTACTTGACTTTCAAAAGTAGATACATGTATAATTTTGATTTAAAACAACAAGCAAACAACCTCTCGTGTACCAGATGGATATGACAGTGCTGAACTGAGAGGAGGGACTTCTGGGAGATGACTTTTTGGTACTTTGGGGAATATCAGAGAACAGCAGGGATCTCAGAGACTACTTGGTCTAATCCCCTTATTTTACAAAAATGGGGACAGAAAATCTATGTGAATTGTTGTCTCAACTTTAGAAGCAGACTAGGTCTAACCCTGAGGTCTCCGGGTGGCCAGGCCAGAGCTGTCTCTGCCACATCCCACGGGAAAGGAAAGTGGTGCTTCAATGGCAACAGGAAAGGCTGATGTTCCAGCTCTGGAATGACGCGTGGGAGCAGCACAGGACTATCAGGAGACTGTCCTGGCACCAGTGGAGGAGCATGGCCAAGCTGGACTGCCCATCTCGATGTCCTGATAGAGCCACAATGCCCGCAAACACGCGTATACGTGAGCACGTGTCTGCTCTCTGAGTTTTGCTGATTTAAATAAATCTCTAAAAATCAGGGAATCCTTGGGTGGTTCCATGTATGTGCTTGCGGCTAACCGAAAGTTTGGTGGTTCCAGTCCACCCAGAAGCTCCTCGAAGAAAGGCCTGGCGGTCTGCTTCTGAAGAATCAGCCACTAAAAACCCTACAGAGCACAGTGCCTCTCTGACACACATGGGGTCACTGTGAATCACCGTGGACTCCATGGCAACTGGTTTGGTTTTCTAAGGATCAGACAGAAATGCAAGGCTACTAAAAGAAAGATAAAATAGAGTTAGATATTAAAATGCCTACTTCAGAACGAAGACAAGAGGGATATTTGCTGGCTGGATGAATGCATAAATGCTAATATAAGTCTCCAACATCTGGTTCAACATGATTAAAAAAATACCTAGTATTTATACAGGATATATTTACTCTTAACCCAAAGGAAGAGTAAGAAGTAACAGACACTGGGGCGGGATCCACGGAACACTGTGTGTCTTCTGTTGCCACCATCTTTATTAAAATCGTGTTTTCTATGCTTTGATTATCTGGAATACTTTCATTTGTAACAATTCTGCAGATCACCTTGCTACTCAAGGTGTGGCCTATGGAACAGTAGCCTGGGTATCAGCTGGGAGCTTTTTAGAAATGTAGACTCTCAAGCCTCACCCCAGGCCTACTGAATCAGAATCTGCATTAAACAAAACCCTCCGCTGACTCATATGCATGCTACAGTTTGAAAAGCTCTGGTCCACTGCTCCACTAAATTATAATTTTAAAATACTTTATTGGAATTAGAAGCTTTCTAAATGACCAACAATATCCTGAAATAAATTAAGATACAGAAAAGCCACTAAGAAGACAGGATAAGAACTGTAATAAACACCAAATGATCTAAGCGGGAATTGGAATTCTCAGCTACCAGTATTCATTGCAATCAACTGTATCAGGAGGGTGATGCTGGATGTTTGGGGACGGCTTAATGGGAAATCTGGTGGGCTGCCACACTTCTCTAAGCATCAGCCAGCTTGCTTAAGAGTTTGGCCTGATTCCCCCATCACACTGCAAGATCAGTATTGTGTCTAGGAGAAAGATGGAATGTAGAAATCTGACCTCAACTGGCCGGGCAAATGGGCCAAAAAGGGGGGGGAAAAAGGTGAGGAGGGAGCCGTCTATAACCCAGATAAAAGTGGCAGTATTATTAAAGGAAAAAAAAAAAGCCACCCAAGGATTTAACAGATATCTTTCATCAGACGTATACGTAGTCAGGTACCAAAACCACCAGGTGCATACCAGAAAATCAACCCGAGAGAACACTCACTCACCGAGAGGACAGGCTCGGCTTCCCACTTTTGCTACAGCTGGTGTAAATTCCCGGGCCATCATCGAAGAAGCTTCCAAGTGCCAACTTCTGTCTGATAGACTCTCTCTCATTTTTCTGTGCCTAAAATTTCAGGAAAATAACAGAATGCCGGTAAGTGGGCAGACACATCACAACCACAGGCAGCCTAATGAGTAAGTTCCTTAAACTGTAACATTAGATGAAAAATAAATAAATGGGCCACAGCACAAAAGCGTCTGAATTACTAAGAGCTGAAATTAAACCAGTCTCTACTGGTTTCAAGGAGCCCTGGTGGCACAGTGGTTAAGCTCTCAGCTGCTAACTGAAAGGTTGGTGGTTCAAACCCACCAGCTGCTCTTCAGGAGAAAGATGTGGCAGTCTGCTCCCGTAAAATTACAGCCTTGGAAACCCCATGGGGCAGTTCTACTCTGTCCTATAGGGTCGCTATGAGTCGGAATCGATTTGATGGCAATGGGTTTGGTTTGGGGTTCTACTGATTTCACTTCTGCAAGCAATTGCCATTCATAGCCCTTTAGGATTTCTAGTACAGGAATCACGATGTGGTGTTAAATGAGCTTCGGCAGGATAAAAATCAGTTGCTGTTGATCCTGTTACAACTCATGGCGACCCCATGTGTGTCAGAGTAGAACTCCTCTCCATAAGGTTTTCTATGGCTGATTTTTTGGAAGTAGATCACCAGCTCTTTCTTCCGAGGCACCTCTGGGAGGACCCAAACCTCAATCTTTTGGTTAGCAGCCGAGCGTGGTAGCTGTCCCCCACAAACCTGCTAGATAGGGCAGACCACAGCCATGGGGGCACTTTCTCCTGATCAGGTGGCTTTTATCTCGAATGTGGCCTTTCCCCAGATTGTCCCTTCAGCCTACTTTTTCCGTGACAAGGACATTAACTCATTCAGCCAGTATGCACCAAGCCTCTTTGTGGTGCCAGGGACCACATCATGATGGAACAGAGCCAAGGACCAGAGAGACAGCCCCTGCCTCCACCAAGCTTCTAGTCTTCTTGGGGACCACTGTTTCCTTTCAAGAGCTATCCTGACTGCACCAGGCTTAGAATGTGAGAAACACGGAACACAGCATCTGGACTAGCTGAAGAATTATAATGGGGCCCGTCTGTTCCATGTTTTGAAGGGAAGTCAGGTTGGTGTGCATAGGAAAAGGATTTGGTAAACTACGCAACTGTGATAATTCGGATATGTTTACAACACTTTGCTTCCCCATGAAAGACCCATAAAAACTCACCACGCTAAACTTTTAAACACTTCAAACAAAGAGACAGAAGACTAGAAATGATTCCCTTAGTTAAAAATTAAACAACTACCAAAAAAAAAAAAAAATCCAAACATAGCATGTTGGAAATCCAGGGTTGAGAATGGGATTTTGGTTTTTTCTTTTGGGGATGATGAAGCTGTGAGAAATGGTTTTATGTTCCCAGGAGGGGGTTAAAGACCGTGCTGGGCAAATTCCATGGCAAAATCCACGTCACGTGACTCAGTGTGGCTCCTGAAGGCGTGAGGTTGCCTGGATTCTCCCACTGGGGAGTGCGGAGCCATGGCGTCACTAGGGTTGGTGTCACCCCCCTCCCAGGGTGGGTGAGGCTGGCCTACAAACACCCTCCCCTCACCCCACCCCACCGTGGGCGGCGTTGCAGGCCCCTCCCCACACAGGGCCCAGCACCTCGGCCCCACCCTTCCTGTCCCCACAGTGGCAGGTGCAGGCCTGCCCGCTGCCATGGACCCTGGGGTCACTTCGGTGTCACCCCCTCTGACAGTAGTGATGTGACTGGCTGGAGCCATGTTTGCTGCCAGCATTACCCAGAAGTTACACGTGAGGGCTCTGAGCCACTGTCTGAGCATGAGGTGCCAGGGTGAAGAAATGTACAACACGCAGGGCCAGAGGAGAAATGACTTAGCTTCATACCCAAGTGAACTACAGCATACCTATCGCTTTCCAGTTGGGTCTGACTCATGGTGACCCTCAGGGCAGAGGAGAACTGCCTCAGGGAGCTTCTAAGGCTGTAATCTCTTTTTTTTTTTTTTTTTTTTTGGCCAATTCAACTTCTGTAAGTGTACAACTTATTGACAGCAATTACAATAATCAGCTGTATATTCCTACCTGTAACCAATGTGATTTTTCCATCACCGTTAACCCTCCTCTCCCCGCTCCCTCCCACCCCTGGTGACCACTAATAAACTCTGATCTCTATACATTTGCCCGTTCTTGTCTTTTTATGTAAGTGAGGTCACACAATATTCATCCCTTTGTGATTGACTTATTTCACTCAGCGTAATGTCTTCAAGCTCCATCCATACTGTAGCATGTATCAAGATTTTATTTCTCCTACTGGCTGAACAGTATTCCACTGTATGTATTTACCACATTTTGTTTATTCATTCATCTGTTGATGGGCATTTAGGTTGTTTCCACCTTTTGGATATTGTGAATAGGGCTGCACTGAACATGGGGGTAAAGTCTCTTTGAGTCTCTGCTTTCAAGTCTTTTGAGTACATACCTAGGAGTGGAGTTGCTGGGTCATACGGTAGTTCTATTTTTAGTCTTTTGAGGAACTGTCACACTGTCTTCCACAATGGCTGTACCACTTTGCATTCCCACCAGCAATGAATAAGGGTTCCAATTTTTCCCCACATCCTCGCCAACATGTGTTATTTATTTATTTTTTAAACCTTAGCCATCCTGGTGGGAGTGAAATGGTATCTCACTGTGGTTTTGATTTGCATTTCTCTGATGACCAATGACACCAAGCATCTTTTCATGTGTTGGGTGGCCATTTGAATGCCCTTTGGTGAAACATCTATTCAAGACCCTTGCCCATTTTATGATTGGGTTATTTGTCTTTCTGTTGTTAAGTGGTGGAAGTTTTATATACATTTGGCTTTAGATTCTTGTCAGATACATTGTTTCCAAAGATATTCTCCCAGTCAGTAGCTTGTCTTTTCACTTTTTTGGTAAAGTCTTTTGATGAACAAAAGTTTTTCATTTTTCTAAGGTCCCATTTATTTATTTTGTCTTTTGCTGTTTGTGCTTTTATTACATTAGATAATCCACTGGAGCCTATTTCCAAGGCTGTAAATCTTTATGGAAGCCGACTGCCACATCTTTCTCCCTCAGAGTGGCTGGTAGGTTCAAACCGCTGAACTCTGGGTTAAGACTTTGTCTGCCAACCAAAAGGTCAGCGGCTGGAATTCACCAGCCGCTCCTTGAAGCCCTATGGGGCAGTTCTGCTCTGTCCTATAGAGTCTCTATGAGTTGGAATCGACTCAACGGCAACAGGATTTTTTTTTGTTGTTGTTGTTATTGAAAGTTGGACCTGACAGCGTTGGCCCTGCTTGTTCTCCTAAAAATTTTATGGTTTTAGCTTGCACATTTAGGTCCTTAAACCATTTCGAATTTGTTTTGTTTATGGTTTGAGGCATGCATCCTGTTTCATTTTTCTGCATGTGGAAATCCAATTTTCTGAGCACCATTTATTGAAGAGACTCTTCTTTCCCCATTGAATGGACTTAGCACCCTTGTCAAAAATCAGTCGACCACAGAGGTGTACGTTTATGTCTGGACTCTCAATTCTATTTCATTGACGTATGGGACTACTGTTTCCAAGGCTGTAAATCTTTATGGAAGCAGACTGCCACATCTTTCTCCCTCGGAGTGGCTGGCAGGTTCAAACCGCTGACCTTTGGGTTAGCAGCCGAGCGCTGAACCACTGTGCCACCAGGGCTCTTTGAAGGACAGTATACTATAGTTTAAGCTGCTCTGTCCCATATGGTAGTAACCTGTCACATGTGGCTATTTCTATTAGCATTAAACTTCATTAAAATTCACAGTCACGCCTGCAGCATTTCAAGTGATCAGCAGCCACAGATGGCTAGTGGCCACAGTACTGGACAGTGCAGGATGGAGCACCTAAGAGTGCCGGCAGTGGGTTCCAACCGACTGCATGAGAATCTCCCGCAGGGTCTTTCAAATACACATGTCCGGGCTCTAGCAGCAGACATCGGGACCTTCCAGTCCAAGGACAGCTCATCTCAATTCTCCTTTAATACTTTTTAACCCTTGGCCACTGCTTTATAAGTATTCTTCCAACTTTCACAGTGACCTGTATCTATATCTCAAATGTGGCCTTCAGATACAGCTATATCTATATCCCCCCATTTGGACATATACCAGTGTAACTGTGTCTTAACAGGGGCTATCATATGTGTGTGTGTGTGTGTGAATAAAGCCACAAAGAGAAACACTGCTTTTATACAGTTACAGATGTAATGCTGATTTCATATTCTTCACTGTGCTGGCAGCCCTGAGAAAGTAACCATAAGGCTGGAAAGGGAAGCAAGAATGACTTTAATTTTACTAACCACTTGCAACTGTGCTGTTGGGAACCTTAATTAAAGCAAACCACCCATCCAAATATGCAGGACTGGCACTTGGGATGGTTCAGCCAAAACAGAACCGCATTTCTTGACATGTTTATTTCAAACAAATTCATTTCAGAATCCTCAAATGCGCCAGGCAGATTCAGTGAAGTCAGTGAATCTATCTCTCAAGCCATACAACAGACAAAGGAGTTTCTCACCCAACGTCCTCCTCAATCAGAAAACTGTTGAGTGGAAGTGAGTATCCAAATATAAAATCAGGAGGTGACAAGATGCGTGCTAACAGGTAACACTCATCAACAAGCTGGTGTCCAACATTAGCCTGGGGCCTGGTAGACGTTTGACTTAAGAAAACACCTATCTCGGGTGTGAATCTGTGAACACACCTTGGATTCCACGTCTATCTTTCCTGATGAACTTGGTACACTGGAGGTGTACATATTGGGGGAGGCCTTGACATATCCCTATTTCCATTAATTAGCATCCTGTGCATACTTTATGAATATTTCATCAAGTTATGGAGAACTGTTTATGCCACACTCTCTCTTCCTCCCCTCATCTCCCATTAAACACATCCAAGTGTAAAGAAGACTATAAACTTCACCTATAATCTTGCCACTTAGAGAAAGCCCATTGATAATATTCCGGCATATTTCCTTCCAGTTTTTTATCTTATGTGCGTATTTTTTTCCTC